CAACACCTGTCCACAAAGCCAGTGTGAATCCGCAGAGAAAATATTGCCCCCTCAGAGCACCTCAGAGCACCTCACCACTTGATCTGCAGCTGTTAATATCCTTGTCTCATTTTTCTTAGAGATTGCAAACTCTTTGAGGACAGGATTATGACTAACTCATTTTGTACTTTTCAATATGACACCTGATAGATCCTCAATGAATCTTCAGTGAATTAACTGGAACATAATTCTCCCACTGTGTTAGAACCTGAGTCTATATTGGATCTAGAGTCAGGTACAAGCAAATGAGTGGGACAGGTCCACAGTAGAATAAAATAAAATGGCAAAATCTACATGAAGGAGGAAGGGAATTTAACCAAGAGAAGTGAGTTTAGGAAAGGAATAGCAAGGGACCTCCAAGGATCTTAAAGAGATAAAAATATTAAAAGCCCTGAAGTTGGGTCAAAACAAAAAAAAATGTATTAAAGTTTAAGGGGCCAAAATGCGTAAGGCATCCTAAAGGCTTCAACAATATAGATACCAGAACTTTTTCCATCCTTACAAGCATGAAGTGTATAATAATAAGAAACCCTCTGGGATATTGTTTTTGCAAAGTTACTCAAAAAACAATTGCAAGCTTTTACATTTTAAGGTTTCCCACTGCCCCTCCCCCCACCCCCCAAAGATGCTGAAATCTGTTTTAAAGGAAAAGAGGGGATTTAGTCCAGGAAAGAATGGGAGAGACTCAAGCCTGGGATTTGGAAAGTAAAATAGGACCAACCCACTGAGAAAAATAGCCTTTGATGTCCTGCCGATCAAGGACCTAGGCTTATGGACCAGACTCTTAAATCACGTGGCATTTACTGCCCAAGATTTAAAAAAAAAAAACTTTTGTGGATCAGCATCTGTGACTCAAAATGGCCAGGTTCCAAAATCAGTCTTAACTTTCTAAGGTAACATTAGGAAGGCTCCTTGAAAGAACAGAGGGGAGCCAGTTTCTAGAAAGGCAACTTAATGATTTTCTCCTCTCCACACTCCCCTACCCCCACCCCCCAATCATTAAACACTGATCCTTTCCCAGAGCCCAAGTTCACGTTGAGGGCAAGGGGAATTAAGTGAAGAAGCTGAACCTGCAGCTAAGATTAGAGATTTGCCAGGAGCCTAATTTTAGGTCCTTGCTGGCTGCCCAGCTGACATCCTGCCTTGTTGGCTCAGCCACGAGAACCTCAAGTGGGGCTGAAAGCCGGTGACCGAGTGGGCAGAGGGAGCGGCCCCCCAGACCATCTGCAAAAGCCATCAGCTGGCCGTTGGGTGTGTTTGGAGAGTGACTACCAATAATTTCTCCTCTGACAAATGTTTCTTCAGGTGTTCGAGAGCCAGTAAGGGAAATGTCAACTCTTGGCAAAAGTTCCCACATGCAGACCATTCTGATAGTCATGCTTCCACACTTAAGAATGCACTCCAGGAGGAACAAATCCTGCATGTCTTTCTTTTGTTTTTATTTATGTTTTGGACCACACCCAGCTGTGCTCAGGGCTTGCTCCTAGCTCTGTTCTCAGAGATCATTCCTGGAGGTTCTGGTGAACTAGTTCCAGGGATCATATCCGGGTCGAGCCATGAACAAATCAAGTACTTTACCTGACTACCTTCTCCAACCCCATGTCCTGCTTTTTTGTGGCTAGTAATGTCCTGATTTCCTCTGTGGCTCACAGCCACAGGCTAGAGAAAGTGTTTAGGACAAAGTTTTGCATGGATGGGAGAATGCTTGCACTGGGGGGTAGGGGGAATTTCCACACCACTTCCCACTTCCACCTTCCACATCCACACATTTCCCAGCCACAGGTTTCATGCTTCACTTGTCTTCTTCAGAGGGCAGACAAGAAGGACTGGCATCTCCCACATCAAAGTGAAAATGGAATATATTTTAAAGTGACAACTTTGTTATCCAGACACCAGAATAATAAAATGCTCTAAATATATCCCCCTAAACTATTCCACTCTGAAATGCCACCAGAGAGCACAATTTCTTGCATAATTATGGAAGGAAATATCTCTTTCCAAAGCTTTCACAGAACACTTACCTGGATTTTTTTTTTGTTTTGCTTTGTTTTTTGTTTTTGTTTTTACACAGTCCTCCTGCCTGAGGCACGCCTTCTTAGAAATGAAGCCTTAGAGTCTCTGCAGGTTGGGGGGCCAGGGCTCTTGGTCTACCAAGGAGACTCCTAATAAAGTCCATAGCACTGTCCTCCTGCTGTTCATCGATTTGCTCAAGCAGGCCCAGTAACGTCTCCATTGTGAGACTTGTTACTGTGTTTGGCATATTGAATGTCACAGGAAGCTTGGCAGGCTTTGCTGTGTGGGTGGGATACTCTTGGTAGCTTGCTGGGCTCTCTGAGAGGGATGGAGGAATCAAATAAAGTCACTGATGGGAAAAAAAAAAACTGTCCGGTACTGCCTAGCTAAGGTACTGCATGTCATATAGATGTGCCTTGATGGAGGACACCAGCATCAAGGTAAACTTTATCTCTTTCTTTCTCTAGCTCTATTTTTCTGTCCAGCTTTCCTGGTAGCTTTGCTGTCCCTGTCTACTTGTCTCAAGTCCCATCTGTCAGTCTGTCTCTAAATCAATTTCTGCAGCCCATCACACATGCATGCGCGCGCGCGCGCACACACACACACACACACACACACACACACACACACGCGTGCATGCACGCGCTCCCCCCTCCCCGCCCCCTGTCTCTTGGTGTTCACTGGCCCTTTCATCTTCTCCCTCAGGGATTCGAGATGTCGCTGCAGGAAGTGCTTGTCGGCCCAGGCAGCAGCAGCAGAGCCCTGTGGCTTTGACAAACCTCATTTAATTGGGAGGAAGCCAGGAGAATTTGAAAGAACTGAAACATCCACGAAAGTCCTTTTATCAGGCATAATTTAAACTCTGCATGGAAAAACCCCTATATGTATAAAGAAAAGTCAACTTCCCTCCTGCTGTGCACACTCCTCAGCTCCCCCACCCCAGCACAGGCTGGCTCCTGCAAGACTCCATCTTTTCATTTCTCTAAAAGTGTCAAAGAAGATTTGGGCTCTGTGGCTGGGAGGACAGAGAAGGAATACAGATGGGTCTTTCTTTTACCTACATGCACGCGCACACAAAGGCGACCCCCCTCCCTTCGTTGGTGGCTTTGCTTCCCATGACCAGGGAGAGTCAACCTCATGTTGGCAATCCCACATGGTTCAGACAGTGACTGTTTCTTCCTGATTACTCTCCATCAGACAAAAGCTGGCACCAGAACACTTTGAAGATCCTCATGCTTGTGCTATGGTTCTGTAGGTAGAATAACAGATCCTGGAGAAAGGACTGGCTGATGGGGGATGGAGGAAAACTAGACAGGCTTCCAGGACTCAGACTGGGAAAATGGTACTGGAATGGGAGTGGGGAACTGGTGGCAGTGAAGTGCCAGGAAGGGAATGAGAATTCCAGATCTGCCTGGATCATCTTTTATTTTAGCCAGATGGCCAATGGAACCCCTCCTTCCTTCCCAGTCTACTCGAGATTCATCTCTGCCTAATCCACTTCACCGGAGTTGTCCGGTTGCTCCCAAGAACAGCCTGTAGACATACATAGTCTTTGAACATCTGTAGCTGATTACGCCAGACTGGGGCTGTTTAGATATGATTTGTGCTAATATGTGTACGAGGGTGCCTTGTTTCCTCTTCCTCGCCCTCCGTTCCTCCCACGCTGTAGGATCTTTGAGGTCAAGGACAAGGCTCTCTTCCTCTCAATTTTTATAGCACTTAATATGTTCTTGACACTTAATGGCATCTTAATAAATACCGATGACTGACTCTCCTTACAAGGTTAAGTAAGACATTAACCCCAGTTGTAGGATTATGGTTATTTTGGGAAATCCTAAATGACTTGCTTTAAAAATAAAGTCTCTCAGGAAGTCTCAAAAGAAAGGTTCTGGCCTGTTGTAGTGTAACATCCTCAAGACAGTGGGGTTGCATTTGCAAACCCTGCAGACTGTGGTCCAGTCATTTCTCTAAGGCTCCTGGGCAACCCTCATCACCGTGCATCCTATTTCAGTACCCTCTTTTGAGCCTGAGACCCTTCCACCTTCATTCTCTCAGCTTTGGACTTTCATAAACGTTGGTAATGAAGAGATAGAGGATTAAAAAAAAAAGCCCAGCTAAGGCAGCCCATGGAAGTAGTCCAGGTCATGGCTTCTCTTCCCACCGCCTTCACAGAGCCCTTCCTTGCCACATTCGGAGAAAAACGAGAGTGCTCCAGCCACATGATGCCTCATCAGATTTTAGATACAGGGGATGACTTCCGGCCCAGGCATCACGCTGATTTCTGGGCAACTTGTGTTTCCCGAGTTTCCAGTCTGGAAGGACTGGTCGCTCCCTCCTCCCACCACCCCTCCCGGCATTTCCGTTGGCTGTGTCAGGTTACCAATCAGGAAAGGCCTTGCTCTCCTCCGCTCTCCTGACATACCCATGTCACCTATCACCTTACTCTGCAGAGAGAAGGGGGTGGTTATAAAAGGGTTTTGCTTCTCCTGGCAGATGCTAACTAAAGCAAACAACTCCGAGGCAACTTTCATCTCATCCCATTTCTAAGGGTTTAAGTGTGTGCCTGGGAAATGTTGAGATCATTGCAAGGAGGTCTGTGTTTCCTCCACCCAGGAGTGTTTGCAAGTCTGAGAGAATCTCCTGTAAAATTCACACAAGATCGAATCCTGTCTGGGTTTTCCCCATGCAAACCCACCTCAAAACTCACTTCCGGTTTTAAAAATTCTCTCATGATTCTCCAGTGCTCAGAGAAAGTACTTAATTTCCCCTCCCCCCCGCATCTAAGATTGTGTATATATGCACACAAACACAGAAACACATCCGAAATAAGCACCTCTCTTCCTCTCTTCTCTCTCTCTCTCTCTCTCTCTCTCTCTCTGTCTCTCCCTCCCCCTCTCTCTCCCTCTCTCTCTCTTCTCTTTTTCTCTCACCATCCCCTCCCCCCTCACCATCAGAAAGCTGGTGTAGCTGAGGGGGCAGGTCACGGAAGTAATCATGGATGAGCGCTTTCTGAGCAGAGACTCGATCCCGAGGAAAGCCTTTTAGCATTTGTGAGGCCAGGTCTTCAGCTTCAGGGACTCTGCCCAAACTGGAAAAGTGGGAGAGAAAATTAAGAGTCTCCAAGAGCCTCCTTCCTCACAAATATTCAATTTCCCTAGGATTAGTCAGGTGACACAAGTGGACAAATAATTCCCACGCTGAATCTCTTGACCTGTTCTGTTCCTCAGACATAGAGGGAAATCTCAGCTTTATGTCTCCAGGCTTGGAGGCCATAAAGTACATAGAATTATAATTATACAAACAAATATGTAATTAAGGATTTTTTTCTTTGCGGGACTTGGATGGTCCTACAAAACAGAAGAGCCTAACTGAGATTGGTCCTCACTCTGGAATCCAAAGCTGTAAGCACAGAATCTTGAGGGAAGAGAGAAAGAAATGATTCTAGATAGTGATGCTTGGGAGGACAGGGCCCTGACCTACTGTGTTTCTGAAGATTAACTCCCAGAATTATGATCGAAAGCTCTCTGAATTACCCTGAGGTAGAGCCCCAGAAGAGACAGAATTTAGATTCCCCTCACTATTCAAAAGTAGAATGTTCCTCTATGGCAAAAGTAATTTTTATGATCTGCGAACACTCTTCCAGGGCCCGATCTTCCAGATTTTTCTGGGGAGAGATCTCCAGTAGTAGAATATATACCTAGTAAGTGCCAAGCCCTGACATACCAGGTAATAACCATGGTAGCATCTAAGTACCACTGAAGGTAGCCCCTATGAAATATTTCTGTATAAATTAATGATCATACTATTCTATTTTCAGATACTGTACCCCAATTGCATAAGGAAAAGTCTTCAAGTTGTGTTATTAATGAAGACATGAGTATATCCATTAACCGAGCAATTACTATGTGATTGACACTGGGAAGTACAAATAAGAGTCTGTCTTTTAAGTGCTTTGTCTAGTGGAAGATTTAGGCAATTGTCATATTATATCCATATCTAAGTATAACAGTGAAGGGAGAAAGTCCAGCTACTTGACTCAGCATGGGACTAGATAGTTTGGGAAGGATGTCCTGAGAAAGAGGCATCTGAGAGGCCAGAGAGAACATTTAGGGGCTGAGAGACTTGCTTTGCATGTGACCGGCTCTGGTTCAATCCCTGGTACCTCCTGGTTTTCCAGCATCTCCAGGAATGATCCCTGAACACAGAGCCAGGAATAGTTCCTGAGCAACTCTAGATGTGGTCCAAACTTTTTCCCCATCAAAGAAGTTGCATTTGAGCTGATTGCTGAGGGATTGGGACAGATGAGAGAGAGGTGGGCAGGCAAAGGTCTGTGGGTTCCTGCAAACTTGGAAAGAGGAAGGGGGAAATGTATTCAAAGAAGAGAAGAAAGGCCAGTGGGATGGCCTGGGGCAGAGAAAGTGGGGTGGGGGGTATAAGGGGGTGATAATGGAAGGTAGGAGTGTGGCAGGGTTTGTTTCCATAGCTCCTGCATAGCCCCTGTGGGTCTTCATATTCTGTATTGACTTACAATGCTAGAAAAGCCTTCACTGGTCTATTGCTGACCATTTAAGTAGACCCTTCTCTAGAGCCCACAGCAGATTTGCAAATGGAAACCACTCCACAGAGAACCAAGCAGATCCCAGAAGGTAATTAACCAGGGGACTTATAACGGCTGACATTCAAAATTAAATTGTACAGTCATGCAAATGGCCAATTAAGCAAAAAGAGGCGGGTTTACTTAATGTGGGATACACATGCCAAGTGGGAGCCACAAAGAACACTTTTCCTATCCCTTCCCAGGTGCCACAATGCAGGATACCCGCAGTCCTAGCCCAGAGTTGTAATTTGCGTGGCTTTTTGCTTAAGATTTGCATAAGAAGCTTTCAGGTATCTGATTCCCAGGACATAAAAGTATTTTTAAAAACATAAACTCTCAGAGATGGTAGTGATTTGCTTTACAGACTGTTAAATTGGAGAAGAAAGGCACCAGTCCCCAAATTTGCAGGGCAGTTAGGAACGAAGAGAAGCTGAGGTGGGACCCTTTGGTAGCTATGGCCTGAGGAGGCGGGGCCACGTGGGGACTTGCTCCATCCAGGCTTTCCTGCCTTGCACAGACATTCAGGGACAATGAAATGATGGTTGGGGGCAGGGGAGGATCGGAGTGGGGAGCTAGTATGAATCACTTGGCTTGGTATCAGACTGAAAGGAGATACAGAGATCTCTTTTTTTAAAAAAAAGAAATCTACTCTTGGACTGGAGAGATAGCACAGTGGCTATGGTAGCATGGTTGCCTTATATGCAGCCAGTCCAGGTTCAATCCACAGCATCCCATATGGTCCTTCGAGTCTTCCAGGAGTGGTTCCTGAGTGCAGAGCCAGGAGTAACCCCTGAGCACTGCCAGGTATGGCCCCAAATCCAAAATAAATGATAAATAATCTACTCTCAGTTTAAGATGCTGGGATGAGGTGAGTGTCAAAAGTGGGGTTTGAATCTAATCTATTAATTTCCAGGGGATGCTGGTGGAGGTAAGTATAGAAAAATATCTACCCACTCCCACTGAAAACTCCTACATAAACTTGAAATTAAATTTCTGCATACTTCCAGCCACTGGCAACTAACAATTGGATTGTTTCAGCATTATTCTGAGGAAGGAGTTTAGGAGCTGCAGTCTGATTGGATAAGAAAGGCTAGGGGACTGGGTTTGAGCTTGTGTGGTTGTGACATGTGTGCTATTTTATCCAGACAGGGGTAATGTCAGGAGCCTGGGGAATCCGGCAAAGTCTAATGTAGCTGACAGGGCAAGTAGGGACATCACCAAGGACAATTTTCCCTGGCAAATGAAAGAAAGGAGAGTAGATACCCATCAGTGATATGATGACTGCTTGTTTAGGACTTGCTTCATTAATACTGGCACAATACCATCAACTAGTCTACAAGTTTTATTCAACGTTTTTTTCAAGAATGAACTCTTTGTTGTATTGTTCTAGAAAAGTACATTCTTTTTTAAATGCTGTCATAGTAGGATGTGGTAAAGCAGACACACTCCATCAGTTATGAGAAAACAAAGAAGCAGCAGCTGTCCTATCATTTTCTAAGCAATTCCCAAAGAAAGTGTGACCTTATTTGGTTCGTGTTAACGGGGTGGAGGGGTCCCTGTCAAGTTCCAGGGAAGGCTCTGTCATGCATTTATGGAAGAAAACTTGTACAGAAACCACCCAGATACTCTTAACTCATCACAATTACAACCCCACAATGCCACAAAGACCTGTGTATCAGCTAACCCCTGATTTGACCACCTCAGCCAAGTTACTTGCCATCTTGGCGTCTGGATTCATGACACTCCATGAATCAAGTCCCTTTCCTCCTCTTTGAAATGGGTCTGATATTGACGAGAATTAAAACTACAATATAGCAAATAATCTACTAGGAAAAAACCATGCAGTCTACCTAATGTTAGTCCCCTTTGAATGGCAAAGTTTTTTTCCACAGCCAAGAATATTCTTATGTGATCATCTAGGCCATGCCTCTAATAGAACTTTCCATGATGATGGAAGTATTCTATTTCTGCACTGTTCAACATGGTAGCCACTACTCCTGTGTTGCTATTATGGCTTTGAAATGGGGCTAAAAGTAAGCAATTAAATTTTACATTTCATTTTCATGAATGATTCAATGGGTTGGGAAATTGTCACACTCAGGGTTTCTCCCATTAGTGCCCAGGTGATTAAATCTAAGCCCCTTGCATTGAAAAAGAATGTTCTTCAGTTCATTGAGTCATCTCCCTGACCCTACTTTTCATTAATTTGAACTTAAATGGCCAAGTGTGGCCAGTGACTACTTTTATAGACCACATATTCCTAGACATTATTCCTTGCTTTGAGAATACTGAAAAGAAAATTCTGAACTCAGGCTAAGGTACTGCTGGGAACACAGAGGTGGGTGTTGCATGAGGTTAAAAAAAAGTCAGAGATATTTCATGTCACTAAGTCCTGCTTAGCCCTAGAAAGAATATCCTGATGTGGCATTAGCAGGAGACAAATAGTACATTGCCTTGGACAATGCCAACAGCAGCAGCATAGAGTACTCAGGTGGTTTGTGGTTTGGAGTTATCATTCACTTTGGAAGCAGTGATGAAATGAAAGAAAACCAGTGGGCAGCTCCAAGAACCAACTATCTCTACTTAGGGGTTGAGGAACGAGACTGCTGGCAAGTGGATGCCTGCACATCTTGGCTATATTGATAAAGAGTAGTTCCCCAGAACCTGCCTCCCAAACAGCAGGTGTTCCAGAACAGAGAGCTGCTTGAAAATAAGAGCGGAGAGCGTGGACATCCTGCTGAGACAAGTCTCTCCCAAAGAGAGATTCTTTGCCGGTCTGGAGTTCTGTGCTCTAACCTGTTTCACTCCTTGTGTTCTACACAGATGCTTTTCAGAGCACAAGAGCAGTTAGCACAGGGAAATCAAACAAAACTGTGGTTTAACCCACCACATTTTCTCATGTTTAATCCAACACATTAAACTCACCATGTTTCCATGAAGAACAATGATCAAATGTTTAGTGAGGATCTTGGCTAGTGAAACTCTTTCCCTTCTCCCCACCTGCAAGAGGGTGTTTTTCTTTGACATTTGAGCTCATTTCCCCTGTCTCTGATGTTTTCCTCACTGCCCTTTTTGCCTTCTCACTGAAGCAAAAAGAACAGAGCCCCGGCTAATTACTCTCAGATCAAATAATACTGGTTATTGTAATTGGTCATTGTCCGAAAACACTGAGTTCTTCTTAGCCCGGAGGTTGCCTGGCACGGCTTAGTTAGCTAACTATTCCCGGAATGTCTCTATTATCTGTTTTACTTTGCAAAAGAAACTAGGGATTTGTTGAAAGCTGGTAATAAAAGTCTGCCCTGGTCAGAGCTGAGACTGCATGGAGAGGGCCTGGGAAAGCATGACCCTCCATGAATCAAGTCGCCCCCCCTCCAATAGCCCCTCAATGATGTTATTTGGTTTCTCTGTGTTGGAGAATAATAAACCCACTAGGTTTTCTTGCAAGCCAGCACTCCCTCGTTCTCAGGACCTCGGGCATGTCTGAGGGGGCACAAAACAATTTTAATGACCAAACTCACTAAAAGTAAAATGGTTCATAGAGAAAAACTAACAGACTCACAGGTGGCTGGCACTCCCCAAAGCATCTTCCTGGGCTGGGAGTTCAGTGGACTGAGGTATAGGGACACAGCCCTCCAACTTTGCTGAAAGAGAAGCTTTCCAAGATGGGACTTACCTGTTCCAGACATTCTGAAGGCTTTGAGGCTTAAGCAATGGAAACCATTCTGCAAAGCACAAAGAAAAAAAATTTAAAAAAACAATTCTAGACTCCTGTTGCTAAATATACTATGAAAATCCTAAATATTCTTTCAAGAACTTGGGAACAAAGTTTGTAAGAACTCCTCTGGAAAAAATTTGTAGGGGAGAGTGTTTTGGGGCCATACCTGGTTATGCTCAATTAAGCTTATTCCTAGCTCTGTGCTCAGGGATCCCTCTTGGTGGTGCTAACCCAGGTCAGTCAGTTACAACGCAGGAACCTTACCCACTGTGCTATTTCTCTGAAAAAACTTCTTAATAGGGGTCACCCTGGCTGTATCTAGGTCACACTTGATGGTGCTAGCGTGTGTGTGTGTGTGTGTGTGTGTGTGTGTGTGTGTGTGTGTGTGTGTGTAGGGGATTTGGGGCCAGGGCCAGGCCAAATTCAGGAACTCACACAGGCTAGGCCTCTGTTTATCACTTGAACTACCCTCTAGTCTTCTTCTGAATTTTTATGATGTTCTGGAAAAGTCACTAGTTATGGGTTCAGTTGTGTCCTTGCAATATTTATATATCCATTTCCAAGCATTGAGTACCTCTGAATTTGCCTTCATATGGAAAAAGGTTACTGAAGATATACTGTTAAGATAAAGTCATTAGATTAACCCCCATTCAGTCTGACTGGTAACCTTATTTAAAAAAGGAAATGAGACACACACACACACACACACACACACACACACACACACACACACACACACCCCAAACAGGTAAAAATGTAAAGAGGTGCAAGGAAGGGGCTGGAGCAATAGCACAGCAGGTAGGACGTTTGCCTTGCATGCGGCCCACCCAAGTTTGATTCCCAGCATCCCATATGGTCTCCTGAGCACTGCCAGGAGTGATTTCTGAGAACAGAGCCAGGAGTACCCCCTGTGCATCGCCAGGTGTGACCCAAAAAGCAAAAAAAAAAAGTGCATGGAGACAGTCTCCTCAAACTGAGAAGTCTAACACAGACTCTGCCTTCAAAGCCCTCAGATGGAATCAACCTTGCCCACACCTCAGTTTCAGCTCTAGCTCCCAGATCCATGGCATAATAATTCCTGGAATTTGGGTTACCCAGTATGCTCTGTTATTGTGGCACTAGCAAATGAAGAAGTTTACAATATTCAGTAAAGTCAACTAATATGGATTTAATGCCTATACTGTGTTCAGTACTTGTACCAAGTGCTGGGAGAAATCTGGAAGAAATGAAGAGATCTCTCCACCAGGGCAGAGCCCACAATCCTATGAGAGAACAAAGCTCAGTGCCCAGATAGTCACATGACAAAGGAATGACTGGCTCGATGTCTCAGACAAGTTAAAAGTAATAAGGCTAATTTTATATCTCTTGGGGTGAAAATGTAAGTCAGCCTTAGTTAGAATAATCCTGAATGGAAGATAATAATTTGTCCTTTTCCTTGGAGCACTCTTTAGGACATGGACACATAAAAATGGGCTTCCATGATTTATTCTTGGTATTGGACTACTTAGCCTAAATGAAAACCACCATGAAATAGGGAAACCTCTCACTCATTTAAGAAACATGAAACAAAGCCTTCTTCCCTGAAAACAAGTGAAGCTGCAGAGCTGCAGAGCTTATAACCTAGTGTTCTTTATGATACCCTTTTAGTTCCCACTCCTGGTGGAGAAAAGAATATTTCAGTTTTCATTTCAAATGATGTTTCTGCCTTATCTTTTCCTTGAACCTGAAATGTTATTGTCTTGCTTTTGAAAAAAAATCTCTTCTTCCAACTTGTGTAGGAATGGAAGACACCAAGACCATTTTCCAAAAAGAGAACTTAATCATAGCAAAATTTTTTTTCTGATAACACTGATTCATGCACATCTGTGTGTAACTAGAAGACTGGAAAGACTGACTACATGCCAGAGGGTAGGGGTGGGGCCATGGGGCTGACACTTTTTTACTTACAGGCTTATTCCCTTAAACTAATTGTTAAAATAAAAAGCATACATGATTTTGTAATTTTGAAAGTACTTCAATTAAAAATGGAATTTATAGTGCCGAGAGATGTAGGGTGAAAGGAGTGATCAAAGAAAGTGATTTAAGCTGACTTCTCAAGGTCATATGCAATCCGATGTGAATTCTGCTGGTGTTTTATAGTCCCAGGTGGGTACTAAGAGAAGCACTTTCATATATAGGTTATTTACTTTCTGTTCTGATGATTATGCCTAAATTAAAATAACCAGTAAAGATAAGAAAATCTGGCATTAATTTAGTCAGTTTATTTCTCAACCACTTTCTGCTGCCTATTTACAATTCTTCCCTAGCCAAATAACATTCAAATATTTTCTCATTCAGTCATATCCCGATTTCCAATGAACATAATGAAATCCATTTCCATTGTCTTCGTGTTCTTCCTTTTTGAGAACCCTATGTTTTGTGTTTTCACCTTCAGTATTTTGATACTATTTCTAACTTTAGTATTGCTGTTGTGAGATGGGAAATTAGCTGACTTTGTTTAAACGCTGAATTCAGCACTTTGATTCGCTGCTTTAGATGCCTCTAGTTCTTGTGTTGCTTTGGCCAACCTGTACCTGTAATTAAAGTTGGATGTATAGTCACCTCACAAGGAAGAAGTGACTCATTGAGCTAATGTGTGCAACGTGCCTGCCCTAGAGTATTAAGCAAAAGCAACCATATTTTCTTTTTTTTCCATTTTCATTGGATGGCACTGTGCACAGGATGGTAAGGACCCTGAATTTAGGTTATGAATCCACACTCACCAGTTGTTATAACCTGAGTGGTATTTCTCACCTCAGGTTTCCCATCTGCTGAAGGGGAGTGATTATGGTTCCTACTTTACAGCACTTTTGTGAGATTTAGGAGAGTAAGTACAGGACCTTCCTCAACCTCTGCCTCTTCTTTCTGTCTCTTTCCCTGACCTGATGAACAATGCTTTTTTTTCTTCTCTCTCCTCTTGAATATCTACCTCATTGCTCTCCTAGGAAACCTACTATGATGTACTGTTTTATTCTACTGAAATTTCAACTTACTCAAGTTTGAGTTCCTACAAAACTGGATTTATTTCTTTGAAGATCTCAGTTTGGGCCAGACGTGGGTCCTGGCTGGGTGACGCTAGTAGTGCACCACAGGAACTCAGGCCAGGGTTCCAATCTCCTCCCAAGCACTTTTAAAATCTGGAAATTGGGGACAAATCACTTAGCTTCTCTAGGTACTCGGAAGTTTCCATACCTGTAAAATGGGAATACTGTTCCGGTTGCTTGAGAGGATGAGTTAAGATGAAGCACTTGACATGTAGTATGAGCTCCACACATGTGAAGTCTTGCCCCTTTTTTATTCTTCTCTCATTTTCTAGTATTTAACCCTCTCTCATTTAACCCTCCATTCTGTAGCAGGAGCATAGTCTGACACAAGGGTTCTCTAGCTTAGATGCAGCTTTGCGTTTCCCTCGAGAGTTTTGGAAAGAAAGGAAGCTCTGGCTCCACCTCTCTCCACCACCACCCCCTGTCTGATTCAGAGTCTGGGGCAGTCCCAGGCAGCAGTCTGTTGTGGTAGTGTTATTATTGTCTTTAACAGCCTCCAGATGTTTCTGGTGTGGTGTTGAGTGAGGCAGAGAACCTTGGTCGAACAGAGAGAGAGCCATGGATACTACTTCTCTGAGGCTCATTTCCTCAAGTGAGCTCAGGAGAATTCAACTGATCAATGGATATAAAAAATGGCAAAATAAAACACAGAGTCTGACACATACTTGATATGTTTCTCACAACATGGAAGTGGAAGCGTAAGGGGAAAATTGGTGCTCGCCAGTTCTATTGGTAAATCATGACACGGCAGAGTGCTCCAGTAGTCGTGACACTAAACTTGAGCTTCTGGGTCTGTCTGGCCCAGATTGCGCCTCTATCTCCTCCAGCATCTCTTCTGCAGCTCCATTAGCTGAGATAGAGGGATTTTTGCATTCAGGGTCAGTTGAGTTACTGTTATGAAGCTGAGTTAAAATCCTAGGCCTGTTTGTGGCCTGCCCTGCACCCTTTCCTCATGCAGATAACCTGATGTGGAATGACCTTGCCATTCCCCATTGATTTTTCTCAGTAGTTAAACTGCAAACGATCAATGAGAGAATGATCCACAAACAGGCATTTTACACAGCACCATTTCAAGAGGCCTCTGTTTTTCTGGCTTTGCATATCCATAAAAATAAGGGCTGCAGGTACCTTTTTGTCCTCCTCCTTCCAGAGGATGGTAAATCATTAGACCAGTTTTCACCACCCGCCTTCTGCAGTTGGCTTTAAGAGTTCTTATTTGAGTTCAATTGGAATGCAAGGTAAAGAAAGCAAAGTAAGGTGCCAAAGGAAACTTTAAAAAGCTGAATATTTTAATTTCCCAACTAAGTGGAGGGAAATGAAAGGGAGGCAGAGCTCTTGCCCCCATGCTCCAAAAACAGATATTGCAGAAATGTGTAAGAAACCTCAGTTCATGGCTGATTCAAGTAAGGTAACCTGAGTCAACAGAGATCTGTTGGCTGATTGATAAAACATCACCAGGATCATTTTGAGTCTTAGCTCAAGGTAAAACATTTTCTAGTTACTATAGACTTGCCACAGTCCCTGGAAGGTTATCTTATGCTGCGGTCTACTGAACTGCCCCTCTGGAATTTCCCGAATACAATGCATTCTTGAGATACCATATATTTAAATAGTTGATAATGTTGTCAGCCTGATTTTACTATCTTGGGCAGTAATTTTAGAACCACACTACAAAAATCTGTAGTTCTCCCCCCTTCCACCTCTGGTTTCCCTCTCCCTCAGGCAGCTGACTGCAATCTTCCTTAGTCTCTGGTTCAAGGAGTCTCAGTTCTGTTTCTCAGCTACTCAGTCTTTCTAGGTTTGAAATTCCTGTTTGGTCCACCATCATTTGACTGCTAAAGCATGGGAGTCACACACTCCAACTCATAATCGTGCTTGTCACTTTTTAACTCTGTATCAAAACCTTCTGTGAATTCTAAGAAAA